AAAATCTGTATCTAGTTTTGCCAAACTTTTCACTTCTCTTAAAACTTTTAGTTTATTTTCTTCATTAAAATCTGCAAAAAAAAGTATTAAATATTAATTAAAATTTTATAAAAAGTGCGAACGTGATTTGTGAACAACGCCTTATAATAAATAGCAGATAAATATTAACAATTGTATCTGTATAGGTAATTAAACAATGTCTATTATCAGTATGTGATTATTGGTTGTGTAAATATTGATACTTTAATAGCAAATCCATGGTTTTTACTGATTATTAAAATTATAATTAAAAGGTTAATTTAAGTGTTCATAATAACACAAATATTCATATATTTTATTATAGACTATTTAAAAATAATTAAATAATATTTGATTTTAAATTATGCATCAGTTATAATGTATTTTAACATTATTTAGTGTATTAATTAAATAAACATTTGATAAATATTTTGTTGTAAAAATGTGTGAATTATTAAAAAAGTTTACATTTTGTGATGAAATTCCTACAAATATTAAAGAAAAGATCTCAAAATTACATGTGATTTGTATTAACAATAATTATAATGTGTTACTCATAACAACCGATGATATGGTCTATGGATTTGGTAATAACGGTAAGGGATGTCTGGGTTTTGGACACAACAGCCCTATTCAAGTATTACCACAACTGATACCAGAATTATGTCATCAAAACATACAATACTTTGTCAATGGATTAGATTTTGTATTAGCAGTGAATCAAACAAATAGTGTTTATGGTTTTGGTAACAATAATTTGGGGCAATTAGCCCATGGTCATGTCAGTAATGATATTTATTTTAAACCAAAACTTATCACATATTTGAATAATAAAAATATTGTATAAATGAGTTGTGGTTATGAACACACTCTGGCCCTCGACAGCGATGGCCGGGCGTACGCCTGGGGTGACAATAATTGCGGTCAAATTGGCTGCCGATATAAAAGCTATTATATTTGGACTCCAATTGAGATAGAATTCAGTAATAATTACAAAATACAATCCATTTATTGTTGTTATAACTCTTCATTTGCCATCACATCCGATGGCCATGTCTTCAGTTGGGGTAATAATTATGACCACGAATTGGGACACAATATAAACGATGATAAAGTATTTAAACCCCGATTGATAACAACCATTAGTGGTGTGAAAGCAATCAATTGTAGTATTTATTGCACTTATTTTCTCACAACAAATGGTTTATATTTTTGTGGAGAATATTCTGAAAATAATGAAGAAATGGTTCAAAAAATTCCGAAACAAATATTATCGACAATTAATTTTCAAGAATTAAGAGAAATTAATTCATGGATTAATGCGAATAATAATCAGTTTATATGTCTCTTAATAAAAGGCAAAATTTATAAAATATCAAATGAACACAAATTAGTTGAAACAAATGATAACAGTTTTATTGATTTTTATGCTAATGAACACAATATAACTTATAATACAATTAATTTGAAGCAAGAAAATGAAAATACTATATTATATCCAACTAAAAATGAAGATAATTCTAATATAAACGATAACTTAAATGATAGTAATTTTAAAACCCAATTAACAATATAACTTATAATACAATTAATTTGAAGCAAGAAAATGAAAATACTATATTATATCCAACTAAAAATGAAGATAATTCTAATATAAACGATAACTTAAATGATAGTAATTTTAAAACCCAATTCATTGAGATGTCAGCCATAGGTTCGGGTGGTTTTGGGACTGTATTTAAAGTAAAGCACAGATTAGATGATAAGATATATGCCGTTAAAAGATTACAATTTGGGGGTAAATTCAATAACTATTTGTTTGCATTTTTAATAAAATTTTAATTAATATTTAATACTTTTTTTTGCAGATTTTAATGAAGAAAATAAACTAAAAGTTTTAAGAGAAGTGAAAAGTTTGGCAAAACTAGATACAGATTTTGTGGTCAAGTATTACAACTCATGGCTTGAGTCCAATCATCTCTATATTCAGATGGAATTCTGTGCGCAAAATCTTCGATCACTTCTCACAGACAAAGCCATTGTCTTCGCACGACAACCGGAAGACGAGATGAATATTTTTGAGTATTTCATTTCGTGTCAAATATTTACAGAACTCTTAGAGAGTGTCCAATATCTTCACGAATCTAATCCAGTGATCATTCATCGGGATCTCAAACCGGGAAACATATTAATTGATCCCAACTTTAAGTGCAACCGTTGTGTAAAACTGTGTGACTTTGGTTTGGCCACCGCTCACAACACCGATGGACACACTGACAGTCGATACGAGCACTCAGTTGTGGGCACTCGAAGATATATCGCACCCGAAGTATATTCCGGTAAATATAATCACAAATCAGACATTTATAGTCTTTATATTATCGGCGAACAGTTGTTTGACATTGACTTTCAATCGTAAGTTATTGTAATTAAATATTTATAATTTTAATTATTTGTGTAATGTATGCATATATAGTTCACAAACATTTCAAGCAAATGAATCGGTTTTAAAATCATATCTATTATGTATATATCGGACACTTCTGGCAATGATGTCAACACCCTTTTGGAGACAAAGACCTGAGTGTCGGCAAGTGTTGGCCAAACATAAGGAGTGGTCTATCGATAAGACTGTTGTCACGAAACAAAAAGAATTCAATTCAGTATTAAATGCATTGAAATCAAAGGATAACTCAATTTTCTATGAGATATTGTTTCGTAAAACTAAATAACATATCACTAATTATTTGTAATAAATAATAATTTATCTGTTTTATTTTATGATTATGTTTTTATAATTACAATAAGTAAGTAGAAATATAAATGGCAATTATAATAGTCTTAAAAATAAGTATTAATACTTGTATCATTATGTTAATTATTTATATTATATTAATATTATATATAAATTATATAATATAACTTATATAATACTTTATATAAAGTTATTTAAATATCCAATTATAAGTCATGCGATTTTTGATGACCATGTTCATTGTCTTCTAGCGACGAAAACATTTCATTCATGTTATTCATTAGAGATTGATCGGGATTATCACCGTATAAATCATCATGGCCAAAACCAAATGGACAGCCGCCACACTCTATCATATTCTCTGCCAAAATGTTTTGCCAAAAAATTAAAATATTTTAGTATGCAAAAATTTTCAAATTTAATTCAGCTATAAACAAGTATAATCACTAATAATTTAATACTCTCTACTTTAATAAATAGCATGTTAAACATAGATTTTAATTTCACATACACAGTAGCTTTGGTACATTTAATAAATTAATAATAATCTATGCCTTGGATTACCTGAAATGAATGCCAACGTTAAAGTGACCAAAAATATTAGAGCTAAACCATTTTGCATCATGGTAAAATTAGAAATATTTATTGCTAAATACAGTCAAAATAATCAATTTATAATATTATGGTTTTTAAACACCTATTTATACGAATTGTGAGTTAAAATGAAAGTACAGTTGCATTGCGTGCAAAACGTCACTATCGATAAAGTCATCAAATAATTAAAAACTTATTTAAATAACAGATAACTACAGGGAAATGATTTAATATAAAGAAATGCACTTACAAATAAAAATAACCAACAACCTGTTTCAACCAGATGAGTTTATTTAGTACAATGTTTTGTTTAAAATAATTAAATTTCCAAACTAACAAGTACAATATATCGCAAATAATCTTTTACAATTATGGTATAATTTAATTTATTTAAAATAATCATGGAGATAATTATAAGACTCAGGTAATTTTATTACTGGGTCACATTATTGAGCGACACCGGTATTATTAAAGGGCGGGTCATATGTCTCAACAATGGCGCCAATATGACCTAGCTCATAAATTTCGCAAACAGTCTTACAACGGCCCGAGAGCTGAAATTTTCTGTAAACGCAGTTATAATTGGAGAGACCGTTGGGACTGAGACAGCCCTTAACAGGCGAACCCCTGTATGCGGTCGCCTCCCTATACGCCGACCCATCGCACGGACCGCCGGAAATAAAGCCCTTATGCATTGTTGTTTGGTCACCTTGGTCACAAACAATAATGTACAATATGTCATAATCAAAGTTATTATCAACGCCATTTTAGTTTAGTGATTATACCGCTAATATATGATCCAAAATGTGTAATATTGACAAATTGCAAGGCTATGACCCGCCAAAGTGGCCACTCCTGTACCCCAATAAACGTAAATGAGAAAGATGCCGCGTGAAAAGCATTACACGCTATCCCGGAGTTGGGACCGCTATTTGTGTTATATATGGCTGTTATGTTGACGGCGCTGTCGTAGTTACTCTTGCAGGGCATCGTCACATAGTATGCAACATTAGATGAGGCGGTTTGTGTGAAATCTAGATAAATGAAATTTGTAATTTAAAAATGTAAATATAATTTACAATGTTTGTTTAGTTAATTTTATACATGTATTAATAAAGTGTACAAAATAACATAGCTTTATTATATTACTTTTTATACATACTTATAGAAACGGGTGTGAAAGTAATTGGTGTATCTCTGGGAACTTTTGTCGTTTCGGATGCTGATGAATTGCAAATGATATATAATTAGGATTATTATTACTATTGATAAAATATTGGTTATTTTAAAATTGAAACTCGCAATACAAAGTTTGTTTACTCACTCAGTGACCATTTTCCCGGCTTATGGCCACTGAATCCGTAGATCTCATTGAATATTGATAAAAATATTACAACAAAAAATTTAGAATTCATTATAAAAAGCATAAACCTATTTGGAAGATGGTAGAATTTTGTTTTTAACACAATAAAAACTAAAAAGTAATTAACACTTTTGGTGTTTTATTTTATAAAGGTTCTAATGTATTGTATGAAATATAACATATGGTAGATCAATTAAAACATTTATATTATCTATAATATTTCTATAAAACAATAACAAAATATCTATTCTATAGTATTTTACAAACGTTAGTTCATCTAGGGCTTTTGTTTTGTTTTTATAATGTGTAAAATATGAACATCAAACTTTAAAATTGCACATGAACATATTAAAATATGGATTCAATATAAATCTATTAAATTCAAAAATTAAATATTGTATTTAAAAACTTTGGCAAAATTGATGCGATTATTTTAAAGCTATCATATACGTTAGTTTACATATACGATAATACTTGGTCAATTTAATATCAAATAAACATGACATGCAGATGAACATCAAAATAAACATGTAGATGATATGCTGTCTTATGACATGACATGATATGCAAGTAATAGGAGGCACCCCTACCCCTACTCCCACACATTTGTGATGCATTTATAACTACAAAACTAACAATAAATAGCAATTGAAAACCAGAGGACAATTGTATGACATTGCGTGCCATAAGTCAGTATCGATAGAGTCATTAATTAATTCATAATTTACGAAAATTATCACATAATTTATTAGAAATATAATTTTAATGATATATTATTTGTCAAATAAATACATTAATGTAAGAAAATTCAGTCAAATTATAGCAATTATATTAAATTACTTTCAAATAATTAGTCAAAGAAAACACAATAACATTATTTTATGCTTAAATAAAATATGTTTACGAAGAAAAGCACAACAAAATCCTATGGATTTCTACCATCATTATTGTTGTCATCGTTGGGACAATTGCTTTGATCGGTGCGGAAGAATAAGAAAGTCGGACTATTGATGGCCGTAAGTCTATTGGACAGGAGGTCCACAATCTGTTGGTCCAAAGTAGGAGTTCTACTCATAATCCATGCATTTTCTAAACAATTAAACCATAAATTAGTTAAATAAATAAAATAAAATATTAATGTTATTTAATACCGATATTAATGGGCACTACGGGTAGGGAAGAGCAGGAATATGTGAGCGCATAGTTTTGATAGTCGGTCTCCAATATCCAAAGTTTTGATTTTCCAGTAAAGCCGGCGACTAATTAATTAAATTAAATTATCATGCATCCTTAATTGTGATTGAAATATGCTAAATTATATAACAGTGTACATACAGCGTCTAAACTCTATATCAAACCTAGCTGGATCAGTTGTGTTAGGTGTGGCCAAACCTCGTATATTTATCGGATAGTTAATCCTTGAGCACAAAATAATTTGATCTTTAAGTCTTATATAAATTACTATAAACTAAATATAACTTACAATTTATAAACGCCACGATTTTCAACATTGATAGTGCCGTTGGGGTTAAGATTATAATTAGTTGTAATACACTTCTGTCCGGCTTCCCATACATTGGGGTATTTCTGTATTTCATACCATTTGCCCATAAACTAATTGTAACAGACATCTAAGTTAATTAATAAAACAAACATGATGAATTTTAATAATACCCGCTCGGGATCAAAGTTGGGCACTGTTTGTATGTGCGGACACACAGCCGACACCACCCGTGTCTCCGATGCCCACAATAACAGCACAAAAGCGCACAAATTTCCAACACTTAAAACTTTCCTCATATTTAATATCAATTAAATAAACTTTTTGTACAAAAAAAGTATTCAAAGAATCAGTTGAACAAATATTCCTTCACTTAAGGCAATGTGTGATTGTATTAAACATAAAACTACTCCTCCTTTAGCTTAAATACGGGAGGAATTAGGGTTCGGATACACTATTCAGTAGTGCTTCTGTACTCTTAGCCCCTGTATTTCAATGGTAGACATAATTACACATCACTTTTACTAATAAACACTTTCAATCACTACTACACTGAATAAAAGTATATTTATTTTTATCCCTGATTTATGCAATTATGATGTGTATTGAAAAAACAATCAAAAATAAGTTTGATTTTGATAATGATTTTTAGGCTTTTAATTGAATTCATAGTCACAGAAACCTTGACTTAAATGAATGCTCGTTATTATTAATGGCATTTTTAACGAATTTATTTATTTTTATTTAAATTGTCGTCAAACCGAGTGGTAAGAGTGTATAAAAACAATTTATAGAGATATTGAAGATATTGGATACGGATATAGAGACCAAACTTCGTCCTAATGTACAGTATATTTACTCTAAAATCCTATTAAACTTTATTAATACCTATATTATATCCACAGAATTTAATGTTCATTTCTAAATAATAATCAAATACTTGACGATAAAGTTATGGACCAATGATTTTAAATAAATAAGATGTAAATTATTAGTAATTGACAGGTAAAGGAAAGCTAGCGATAAGTAGGAGTAAAATATAGTGAGTTTCCGTCTCTATATTGAAGCAAACAATTATGTGATTTCGTCGCTAAACGTCAGTCAATTCATTGGAAATATACAAACAAAATAATATTTAGGTTTTTATGTAATGTTTAGTTCACTTTCACTTTTGATTT